CTGGGGGCATCGCGGGGGGCGCCGCGGCGCTGAAGAAGGCGCCGCCGCCGCCGCCGCCGCCCGCGCGCGACGTCCGCGCGTCGCTCCTCGGCCAGCTCAACGCGGGCCGCGTCGCGCTCAAGGACGCCGACGACCGCGTCCTCGCGCCGCCGCCGCCGCCCGCGGGCGGGCTCGGCCTCATGGGCGCCATCGCCGCGCGGCTCGCGGAGCGCCGCGGGTCCATCGCCATGACGCCCATGGACGAGTCCGACTCCGACAGCGACGGCGACTGGGACTAATTCTTAGAGCTCGCCGTCCCCGACGGGCGCCGCGTCGGGCGTGGCGGAGAGGCCAAAGGCCGCGCTCCGCAGCGACATGAGGTCCTCGGGCTCGCCGGCCGCGAGGCGCGCGAAGTAGGAGTCGAGGGCGCTCCAGAGCGGGTCGGCGATGCGCCGCGCCATGTCGAGCTTGTGCTCCTTCGTCAGCGGGTTCTGGCACATGTCGATGGACTTGGCCGCGGGCTTCGTGCGCGGGTGGCACCACGTCTCGCAGTAGAGCCACTCCTGGGGCAGGGCGAGGATGGGCACGCCGTTGGTCTGGAGGTAGTTGGGGAGGTCCTGGTCCAGGTTCGCGAGCGAGTCCGGGTTCGGCGCCATGCCCTTGTACGCGCCGCGGATCGAGTCGCCGTAGCGCGCGAACGCCGGCACGTCGACCACGAAGAGCGCGGAGATGTGGTAGTCGTACCACTCGCCGAGGTGCGTCTTCCAGAAGCCGCCGTCCCAGAAGCGGTGGCCCCGCGTCGTCGGGTTCGCGTCGCCGCCCTTGCAGAACGGCGCGAACGCGTACGGCGCGTCCCGCAGGTCCATGTCGAAGAGCTCCGCGAGGTCCCCCAGGACGACCTGGTCCGCGTCGACGAAAATCACCCGGTCCGTGCGCCCGAGGAAGAGGGCATCCAAAAAGAGGAGCTTGTAGGCCCAGATGAGCCGCTGCTTGTCGCCGCGGATGCCGACCTTCGACCGGTCCAAGTCGTCGGTCAAGAACTCGGGCCACGGCGGCGAGTCCAGGAGCTCGATGTCCGCGCCCAGCGCCGCCGCCAGGGCCGGCGCGTCGAAGGCCGGCGACAGGAACTCGGCGAGGAGCCAGAACTTCAGCGGCCGCGACGTCGCCAGCGCGGCCGACCCCATCATGATCCGCAGGAGCCGCTCGTAGGTCTGGCCCGACGCCACGGAGAAGACGTGCACCGTGCCGTCCCTGCTCGTCGACCGGTTGCACGCCGAGAAGTAGTCCCTGCGGTGCTTGAGGGGCTTCGGCGCGAGCGACCGGCTCGGCACGACTCGGTTCGCGGAGCCCAGCGTGAGCGTCGCGTTGAAGTCGGACACGGCGACGGTGAACTCGCCGTTGGCCTCGACGACCTGGGACGCGCCGCCGTTGACGGCGACGCAGCGCGCCGCCTCGAGCCGGTCCGCGAAGCTCGCGCCGATGGAAGCGCGGATCGTGTTCCGCGCCTGGCCCCGCACGTAGACCGCGTCGACGGCGTAGCGCGCGGTGACGGCCCCCGCGACCTCCGCCGGCGCCAGGTTGTCGACGTCGCCGCCCGCGGCCTCGACGAGGCGCAGGCGCCACCAGGACGGCGTCTTGGGCTCCACGCGGACGCGGCCGGCAGTGACGATCGCGTCGAAGACGACGGGCTCGCCCCACATGGACGTCTGGCTCCACTTGCGCAGGTCGCTGCCCTCCTGCGGCGCGAAGGCGACGGTGACGTTGCCCCAGTCGCTCAGCGTGACGAGGAGCCGCGCGACGACGGCCGCGGCGGGGCCGAGCGGGTCGACGAGCGCGAGCACCTCGAAGCGCGCGTCGCCCCTCGTCGACGCGTGCTTCAAGGCCGCCGGCGCGCGGTCGACGTCGGCCTCCCAGCGGGGCCGCCGGTCGACGGCCTTGAGGGACCGCGCGCACCGCGCGAGCGCGCGCACCGCGGCCGGATCCGCGGACGCCGGCGGCGTCGGCAGCGCGAGCGGCGTGACGACGTCGTTGCACACGAGGAACGGCGGCTTCAGGTCCGGCCCCCGGCGCCGCGCCTTCTTCTTGTGCTTCTTCGCCGGGGCCTCGCGGAAGCCGTCGTCGACGCGCGTCGACGCGTCGATCGCTCGCAGGTACGCGGCCCACGCGGGGCCCGCGTCGTCGTCGTCGCCGCCGACGTACACAGTCCAGCCCGGCGGCGGCGGCGCCGCGCCCTTGGCGACCTTGGAGAAGAGGAGCTCCCGGGGCTCGTCGGGTCCGTCGACCGCGAGCGGCGTGAGCGTCCGACTGAAGAACGGCGCGCCGCCGTCCGGCGCGCCCCGCGCGTGCGCCCGCTCCACGGCGGCGCCGACGGCGCGCCGCGCCTGCTCGTGGTCCATGAGGCCGTCGTCGTCCGCGAGGAACGTGACGCGGCCGTTGGCGACGACGGCCGGCGCGCCGAGCGCGTCGAGACCGAGACCGGCGGCCGCGGCCCCGAAGACGTCGCCGGCGGCCTCGGCGGCGTCGAAGAGCGCGTCGGCGCGGCCCCGCGCCTTGGCGTCGAGGGCCGCTTTGAAGGCCTTGCGCACGGCGCCGCCGTCGAGGCCGACCGCGGCGCGCGGCGCCTTCCACAGTTCGGCGAGGAAGCGCCGCCGCGCGGGCCCGCCCGGCAGCGCCGCGAGGGCCGCGCGGCAGCGCGCGTCGCTCGGGTGGACGCGCACGACGACGGGCACGGACGTCTGCTTCATGTCTACGTCCATGTAGACGTCGAGCACGCGCAACGCGACCTCGAGCTCGCGCTTGCTCGAGGGGTCGAAGAAGAGCCGCGCGTCGACGGCGGCGTCGTCGTCGGCGAAGTCCGCGTCCTCGTCGGCGCCGCTGTCGTAGACGACCGACGAGTGCCGCGCGTCGTCGAGGGCGCCGAGGCCGCCGACCGCCGTCGGCGCCGGGCGCGCGGCCCGGAGATCGTCGAACGCGACGCCCAGGGCCTCGAGCTCCGCGACCCGGGCCGCGTGGTCCTCGACGGCGCGCAGCGCGTCGCGCACGAGGCCGTGGGCGCCCTCGGCGCGCACGGGCACGTCGACGCCGGCGACCCAGAGGCGCTCGAGCCGCGGCGGCGCCCAGGCCTCGAGGTCGGCCGAAACGTTCCTGGGCATGGGCCCCGCGAGGGACCCGCGGAAGGCGGGGAAGTCCGACGCGAGCTTCAGCCAGGCCTTGAGGGGCTGGCGGCTCCGCTTCACCTGGCGCGCCGCGCGGAAGGGCAGCGCGCGGAGCTGCCGCTCCGTGAGCTCGACGTCCGCCGAGCCGACGGTCGCGTCGGCGTCGTCGTCCTCGTCGCGGTCGTCGCCGGCGCGCGCCTCGTACTCCGACGACTTGGCCACGACCTCGACGGTGTAGCCGCCGAGCGGCGTCGCCGCGTCGCCGCTCACGAGGTCGTCGCGGAAGCGCTGGACGCGCGCGAGCTCCTCGAGGGCCGCCTCGAGGGACCCGGCGGCGAGCGCCGACGCGTCGACGCGCGGCGCGGCGATCCGCGTCTCGATGGACACCTCGACGCGGTCCAAGGCCGCTGCGGTGGCTGCCAACGCGAGGCAGGCGGCGATGCGAAACGCCAGTCAGGCGGCGATGCGAGCGACCATCGTCTAGAGCTCTCTTTTGTGGCAAAGCGCTTCAGCGAAGCTTGTTGAAGCCCACATTGACGTTCAGCCGCTGGGCAGCACCGCGATGGGCAGCCTTTTGCTGCTCGCGCTGCTCGCGCGCTGCGCGGCGGCCGCGGAGGAGGGCCTCGCCGTCGCGCTGCACGCGCAGGCCTACCCCGTCGAGGGCGGCGTCATCGTCGGGTCGGTCATGACAACGAACGGCCTGAAGCGGGCCCTGCTGCGCAGCGGCCGCGTGCGCGTGGCCAGGTCCTTCTACCCGTTCCACTACAGCGGCATCGCCGACGAGGCCTGGGACCTGGTCATCATCGAGGGCTGGTTCGAGATGTCGAACGCGTTCATCCACGAGGTGCGGCGGTTGCGGCCGGCGGTCGTCGTGCTCTACTGGTGCCTCGACCCGCACTTCCCGGGCCTCGACGCCATCGGGTCGCTGGACGTCGACGGCTACCTGACGAACAGCGCGACGGTCGCGGCGACGCTGGGAAACGTCGCGCCCGCGGAGGTCGTGAACCTCGCCGTGGACCTGGACGAGATGGCGCCCGCGGCCGCGAGGGCGCCGGCGGGCGCGCCGCTCGTCTACGTCGGGTCCGCGCTGGGCATCGAGACGAAGGCGAACCTCGTGGGCATCCTCCGCGAGGCCGCGGCGAGCTCCCTGGGCCTCGAGCTCTGGGGCGCGGGCTGGGCCGACGTCGGCCCCGACGACCTCAAGCGGCACTACCGGGGCATTTTGCCGCACGGCGCGCTCGCGGCGTGCTACGGCAACGCGTCGGCGGTCATCGGCGCGACCATGGACGGCCAGCGCGCGGCGGGCATGGTCAACAACCGCGTCTTCGAGGCCCTGGCCACGGGCGCGCCGCTCGTCATGGAGACGTTCCCCGAGCTCGAGGCCCTCTTCGCGGACCTGCCCGAGGACGGCGGCGCGTCGCACCTCCTGCTCTGGCGCGAGCCCGGCGACGTCGCGAAGCGCGTCGATGCTTTAAGGCGCACGGCGGACCTCGGCGCCCGGACGCGGCGCTACATGGCCGCGCGGCACACGTACGACGCGCGCGCGGCCCGGGTCCTCGCCTTCTTCGCGCGCGTCCGCGCCGCCAAGCAGAAGCGCTGCGCGCGCCACGGCTGCCTGCGCGTCGCCGTCGTCTGGTCCGGCGAGTGGACGCCCCAGTTCGGGTCGTCCTTCGGCGCCGCCGCGGACCTGCTCGCGGACGCGTACCACCTCAACTGGATCGCCGCGCGCGAGCCCCACGACCTCCTCGTCTACGACGCGGTCTGGGCCGTGGGCCCCCTCGGCGGCGCCGCGGACCTGCGCGCGCGGCGCCTCACGCGCGACTTCACGACGGCGCGGCGCCTCCACCAGCGGCGCCTGCTCGTGCTCCTCGACGACGCCGCGCGCGACCCGCGGCCCGGGGCCCCGGCGTGCGGCCCGGACCGCGACCTCGTCGCGGCCCGCGAATTCTACGACGGCGTCACCTACGTCGCCGCGGAGGACGCCGCGGCCCTCGAGGCCGCGGGGTTCCGGCCCCTGACGCTCCAGCAGGGCTACGGCGTGGCGCTGCTCCCCGGGCCGGCCGCGGGCGACGCGCCCGCGGCCGCCGCGGTCGTCCTCGGCGACGCGGCGTCGCTGCCGCGGCTCGCGGCCGTCGCGGCCGCCGCCGTCGCCCGCGGCGACGCGCCCGTCGCCGTCGTCCTGCTCGCCGAGGTCGTCGAGACGTCCAAGGTCCGCGCGCTGCGGCGATCGCTGCCCGGCGGCGCGGACCTGCGGCTCGTCGGCAACGACGCCGCGGCGCGCGGCGGCGACCTGCGGCGCCTCGTCGAGGGCGCGCGCGCGCTCTACATCCCCCACGCGGCCAACGCGTCCACGGGCGACTGGGCCGCGGTCTTCGCGGCCGCCTACGGCGCGCAGGGCGCGGCCGTCCGCGTCGAGCCGGGCAACGCGCGCGCGCTCGCGATCCTGGCCGCCGACGCCCACGCCTGGGACGACGCCCACTTCGCGGCCCAGATCTCCTTCGCCATGACGCGGGCCCTGACGCTCGGCCGCGCGGCGTCGTCCGCGGCGATTCTGGCGCCGGCGGACGGCGCGACGCTCGCGGCCGCGCCGGGCGCCGCGGCCGCGGACCTCGTCTTCGACCTCGCCATCGACGCCTTCAACGTCGGCCGCGAGGGCTCCTGGTGCCTCGTCGCGAGCGTCGGCGGCATGCTCACGTGCGTGCTCCAGAACCACCTCACGCTCGTGCTCCGCGTCGAGCCGCCCGACGGCTGCGACCTCGACGTCGCCTTCCGCGTCGAGCTCAAGAGCAACGTCTACGGCGACGTCGTCGCCGCGTCAGACGAGGTCCGCGTCGCCCTGCCGCGCCGGCGGCCGGCGGACCCGGCCGCGGGCCCGCCGCCGCCGCCGCGCGCGTACGCGGCGACGGAGTTCCTCGTCTGGCCCTACCGGCCCGGCTGCCCGGACTAAGTCTTACCTCGTGCGGGGCGTGCGCGCGCTCTCGTGCGTTGTGGGGCGGGGGGGCGTCTGCGCTGCTGGGGGGGGGGGCGCGCGCCGCGGCTCGCGGGTGGCCGCCTACTCCTCCTGGACGGCCTCGGTCTCGGGGATCGCGGACTCGGGCTGCGGGGCGCGGAGGTCCTCGAGCTCGGCGTTGAGGGTCGCGATCTTCGCCAGGTACTCGTCCTTCTTCTTCGCCAGGTACTCGATTTTGTCCGCGGCGTCGATTAACAAGGCGTCCTTCTGGTCGAGCATGGTCTCGAGCTCCTTCACCTTGGCCTCGAGCTCCTCGACGACCGCGTCGGGCGCGGGCTCCGCGACGTTCTCCTCGGCCGAGACCTTGTTCTTCCGGGTCGTCCAGCGCTTGGCCTTGACCTTCGCGATCTTCCCGGACTCGTTCTCCTCGGACCCCTTCTCCGCGGACGCGTCGGTCGCGTCGAGCGCGCTCCGGGGCTTCGACGCTTCGCGTTTGGCCATCACGGCTTCAACCTTCGCCTTCAGCTTGTCGCCCACTGACCCGCGGTTGCCGTGCATGCTCTGGCGGCGCCCGATCGTTTTGACCCTGTCTTTGTGCTTCTGGATCCACTTTTCCTTCTCCGCGGGGCGCGACTCCTTCGGGACGCGCCGCGGGCGCGCCAGCGGCTTCGGGAAAGAGGAGACTTGGCCCGGGCGATCCTCGGTCTTGAAGAGCATCGACGGGCGCGGCTGGCGCGGCTCCGTGTTGGCCTTTGCCTTCGCCGCTCTTGTCATCATCTCGCTCATGTTGCTGACCTACCATTGCCAGATGTTCGGGCAGCCATCGATTCAAATACACAACGGGCGGGTTGATGTCGAGGGTGACTGCGGCTCGGACGCTCGATTGCGCACCGTTAAAAAAAAGCGCGGGGCTCTGAAGTGGGCTATGGGGCTGGAACGAGGCTGCGAACTGGGCGGCAGGCAAATTGAAATCGCGCCCTCCGCCGAGGCTGCCGGCTGCACCTCGGCTGGTTGGACCCGGGTTGCATGGACGCTGCCGCCATCGTGACGCGGGCTCTGAGATCACCCTAGTTAATCTAGGAGCCGAGCTGCAGCATCGCGGGCAGCGTCAGGTGCACCCTGTCCAGGGAAATGAATGGCTGCAAATCTCTCATACAAAAAAATGCATCTTCCGAAAATCCAACTTCATTATCGACTTCGGCAAAAGCTGCGGAAAAATCTTGTATGGCAGCCAAGTTTGGATGTTTTGTGTTGAGGTAGATAGTGAGGCTGATATTTCCCACAAAAAGAGCCAAGCCCATTGGCTGTTTTTGTGGGGCGGTGCACCGCCCGAGTCTCCACCATCGCAGCGTAATATGGCCGCCGTACATGAACAGAGTTTTGTCCCTGAACTCCTCGTCAAACTAACTGCTGACGCTGCGTTGGCACGTCAGAGCGTCTTGATGACGGTCGCCAAGGCAGCGACGATCATGAAATGCCAGGAGAAGCTCAAACAGGAGCGGAGCACCGTCACAGTGGCGTGGGGAAAGCAGCACGATCGGCACGGCCGGGCGTCCCCGCCCATCGTCTGGGCCGGCACGACCTTCGAGGCGCCCGCGCTCCGGCTCCTTGGCTCGGGGGGGGCAGAGCTCCCGGAGGCCCGCGAGGCGCGGCTCTGCGTTTGCGCGGCCGCGGTCAAGTCCATTCCCAAGTTCTGCGCCTTTATCAACGACATGGGCGCGAACCCGCGGTGGACGAAGGAGTCCGCGAGGAAATGCATGCTGATCTACCGGGCCCTGGAGCGCGAGTTCTTGGAGCAGAACCCGGACTGCGCGCGCCCGCCGGCGGACGGGCTCTACTACTTCGAGCGCGTCGACTTCTTCGCGCGCTTCGTCGACTTCCACGAGCCCCAGCACGGCGAGCGGAATCAGCGCGAGCTCTTCCAGTTCATCGAAGAATTGAACGACGCCGAGGAGCTGGAACGGGCCGGGCAGGAAGAGGGCTCGCGGGACGGCCCGGACGAGGAGCCGGCGGCCGCGATCGGCGCGGAGACCGCGGAGCTGGGCGCGGTCGTCGAAGAGACGGGGGCCGTCGCCGTCGTCGCGAGCCATGCCGCGGAGGCGGCCGAGGCGGCCGTGGCCGCTCAAAACGCGGAGCGCGAGCTCCAGCACCAAGCGGAGCTCGAGGCGCGGCGCGCGGCGGCGGCGGCCGACATCGCGCGGCGCGACCAGGAGCTCAAAGCGTTGGCGGCGTCGAAGGAGGCCGCGCTCGAGGAAGTCGCCATGCTCAAGGAACGCATCGCGGCCGTGGAGGGAGGCGTGGCCGCGCACAAGCAGGAGCTGGACGTCGCGCGGCAGCGCCTCGAGAAGGAGCGCGCGGAGCTCGAGGCCGAGCGGAAGACGCGCGAGGACGCGGAGTCGGAGCGGCGCGGCGAGATGCAGCGCGGCCACGCCCTCGAGCTCGAGGCGGTGAAGCGCGCCGCGGCGGACGAGGCCGAGCGTGCGGCCGAAGAGGCCCGCGAGGGCGAGGCGGCGGCGCGGAGCAAGTTGGAGCGCGAGGCGGCGGCGGCGCGCGAGGCGGAGAGGCGCACGGCCGCGGACAATCTCGCCGTCGTCCAAGAACGGCTCGCTCATGAGGAGGCGGAGCGCGAGCACGAGCTCGTGGAACGGATCGCGACGCTCGAGGCGGCGCTCGCCGCCGCGAAGGAGTCCCAGAGCGACGCGGCGACGACGCGGGAACATCAGCTGCGCGCAGACGTGGAAACCATGGCGCGAGCGAAAAAGGATGTCGAGGAGAAGCTCGCGCGCGAGCGTGAGGATCGCGCCGCGGAGGCTCGGGAGGGGCTCGAGGCCGCCAAAGCGTCAATCCGTGACGAGTTCGACGAGACGACCGCGTCGGCCGACGCCAAAAAGAAGACTATCGCGGAGCTGAAGTGCGCGCTCGAGAGCATGGGGTGCGACGCGAGCCTCGTCGTCACCGAGGGCGCGGTCCCGGGTCCGCGCGATCCGACCCCGTCCGTACCGCACGTGTCTAGGTCGCCCGCTCAAAAAAGATTTCGAAGCGGCGTACGTGGCGGCCCGACGAGCCGTAGCCGAAGGCAAGTCGTGCTGCATGGACGAGCACCAGCTCGTCAAGCAAGACGGCAAGTTTGAGGCCATCGAGTACGTCCTGGACGACGACGGGCAGCCCATGGAGCTCGGCGGCGGCAGCTATGGATCGCTTCTCTATGCTCTCGTCGGGAATCGCAGCCGCGTTCGTCCCCAGAGCCAGGCTCCGCGTTTGAACCTTCGCGCGTTACTATTCTTCTCAGGGTCTCGCGCTCAAGATTCCTCACGAGGGCGACGGAGACGCGTTGAACGAGCTCATGATGCTCAAGTCCCTGCAGTGCACGGCCTTTGTCGTCAAGCTCATCGTTTCGGGCTACCGATGCGGACAGCTGGTGCTGGGCGCGATCGCAGCGCCCGCGTGCGAATCGCGCCGCGTCGATCGACGCGCGCCGGCCCGGGCAGGTCTCGAGCACGCGCAGGGCGACCTCGAAGCGTACATGGATCTGCGAAAGTCTTCGTTTCGCGCGATGCCTAGCGTGCGACCATTCCACGACGTTTTAGCGGGCGTCGAGTACTTGCACGCGCACGGGATCCTCCACTTGGACCTCAAGCCAAAAAACGTGCTCTGGTTCCAGAGCGAGACCACGGGCGAGGACCTCTTCAAGCTGTGCGATTTCGGCTCCGCGCGGGAGTACTCCTCGAGCGACGTCGAATTCACCGGGGCGGGCACGCCCCCGTTCCAGCCGTTCGCGGCCATCGAGGCGCGATTCGACGGTCGCGCCCCGGCGTCCGTCGTCCACAGGGAGCGTTTCCGAGGCATGCCACGCAGGTCCATCCTGGGACGTCTTCGCCGTCGGCGTCATGATCTACATCTTCGCTTTCGCGCAGCCCGTCGGGGGCTACGACGACGACAGCGTCAGCTTCGCGGACGTCATCGACGAGTTCACGTTCGTCGGCATGTGGCCCGAGCTCACAAAGCGCTTGAGCTCCGAGGACCCGGATGACGTCTATAACTTTCTGCGGGACGACGATTGCGACGCGGAAGAGGAGCGCGACGCCATCAACGATGCCATCAACCGCGACCGGGCCCAAATGGTCGCGCAGAAGGTGGACGAGGTCCTCGGGGCCGCGAGTCCGACCGAGCCGAGCAACGAGCTGCTGAGCGCGCTCGGCCGCATCGCGATTGTCGCCTGCAGTGAGAAGGACGCGGACCGGCCGAGTGCGATCGTCGCCTACCGGGAACTCCTCGCCGCGGTGACGATGCAAAGCGACCGGGCCCTCGACAATCGCGAAGCCGAGGCCGCCGCCGCCACCGCCGCCACCGCCGCGAGGGACGCCGAGGCCGCAACAGACGCGCCCGAAGCCAGAGCTCCGAGAGCCGCGAAGAAGAAGAAGACGTCCAAGAAGCGCACCGCGTTGGCGAACGTGGAGAACCGCGGCTAGGCCAGCGCGAGACCCGCGCCGCCCGAAGCTCCGGCCCCGCGCGCCCGAATCGCGCGCGCCCGCTGCTCTCCCTCGCGCTCGCCGCGGCCCGCCCTCGACCGAGATCCGGAACCTCCCCGTCGCCGCCCATCACCCAGCGCGCGCCACTAGAATAAACGGGGTAGCGAAGCGAGCTGCGAGAGCGTCGACTTCAACGTAGGTCAACGTGACGTCAAGCGAGCCGGTCGTATCACGTTGACATCCGAACAAGAGAGCATGAGTGCCGCAGCCCCCCATTGCGCGCAGCGCGTAGCGGCGGGCGTCGACGAGATGGGTTACTGCCACCTGTCACGGCGGCCACTCGTCTCGGGACGGTGGCGCGCGGCGCGTGCGAAGGAGGCGCGGGCGAACGAGGCGCAACGCGCGGCTGCGGCAGAGGAAGCTCTGTCACGCATGGACGCGGCGCGTGCAAGAAAGGAGCTCCAAGGACGCCGGGCCCGTGCGAAGAAGCGCGCGGCGAGCGAGGCGCAACGCGCGGCTGCGGCAGCAGCAGCGGCTGCGGCGCCGCGCGACGAGGCGTCCGAAGACGACTGCGTCATCACGGGCTCCCGGTCCGCGGAGGTCCGCGACGCGGAGCTCATGTGCGACGCGATCACCGTCGACGACGACTCGGTGACCGAGGAGGACGCGCCGAGCGCGATCGCGGGCACGCTCGAGGACCACCTCAAGCAGCTGCGCGACGGTCTCAAGGGCGACGGCTTCGACGTCGCCGTCGCTTTGAAGTGGTGCGAGGAGAACGGCGCGGACGAGCTCTGCGAGATCGTCAAGGCGGACATGATCGATGACTTCGTCGCGAGCCTCGCGCTCAAGCCGGTCAAGGCCCGGGTCTTGAAGGTGGACCTCCGCGCCTTCGTCGACGGTCGCGGATGATGGCATGCCAGAGGGCAATGCGCGCTCCTTACCACTCAAGCGCGCACCACCACCGCGCCCCCCACACGCGAACCCGAGCTCCCCGCCCCGGCGCCGCCCACGACCGCCGCCGCGCCCCACTAACTGGCGGGTCGAGCCACACACTTCATTGAAGTCTTCAAGGTGAAAGATATGGGCCCGTCTTGAAGTGCGAAACCGAGGGCAGCCATCCAGAGCACATTCACGATGGGCTCCGCCGTGTCGGCGTCGAGCAGCGCCGTCGACGAGGCGATGAAGAAGAAGATCGAGGCGAAAATCGAGGCGAGCGCGTCCTACAGTCCGGAGCAGTGCGTCAAGTTCTGCGCCGAGCTGCGCGGCGCCCTGGCGAAGCTCAAGCCGCCGGAGACGACCGAGAGCAAGGCGGCGCTGAAGCTCGAGGCCCGCGTGCGCGGCGCGCAGCAGCGCAAGAAGATGGCGACGTGCCCCGGCGCGAACTCGCTCGAGGGCAAGTGGCTCGCCTACGTGTCCTTCGGCTTGGGCGGCAAGGTCGTCACGTTGGAGTCGCCGGCGATGGGCATCAGCCACTGGCACAAGTTCCTCAAGGACCACAAGCTCTTCAAGAAGCGCTTCACGAAGACGGACAGCGACCTCATCTTCGCCAAGGTCGAGAAGGAGTTCGACGAGAAGAAGAAGGTGAGCTTCCGGGCGTTCGTGCGCGCGCTCGAGCTCGTCGCGGCCAAGCTCGGCTGCGGCGCGGACGACCTCGAGGAGATCATCCTCGCGACGGGCGACGGGCCGAGCTCCACGGGCACCATCGCCGACGACGTCAAGCACGCGCGCAAGGAGAACTTCACGGGCGTCGCGAGCCGCGGCGGCCCCACGAACATCGACGCGAACGCGATCGACCTGTCCATGCTCACGAACCGGTCCAAGGCCGCGGACGTCCGCGGCGCCGTCGCCGTCTCCGCGAGCGGCGTCTGAGCCGTCGTTCCCCCGACCTAGAGCTTAGGACCCGGACGGCGCCTCGGCCTTGGCCTCCGCGCGGTGGGAGTCGACGCGTCGGAGCGAGCAGAAGCCGCCGGCGACGGCGGCGGCCTCGTCGGCGACGGCCCTCGCGACCGTGGGCAGGATGGCCACGGACTGGTGCGGGAGCCGGTACCAGGGCGTCGACCCCGAGCCGCAGATCGAGATGCGGAGGAGCTCGGCCCAGGGCACGTGGCTCATGATGAACGCCGGCAGGCCGCAGGTGATGGCCTTCGTCGCCGTGTAGAAGCGCCAGGGCGCCGCGTCGCCCTGGGCGTAGGCGAGGCCGAAGTGCCGCTTGTTCGGGTGCGCGTCGTCGGGGATGTGGAGCAGCGCCGGGTTCGGCGACACGCGCGTCTCGCCCGCCTCGGGCGGCTTGAAGAACGTCGCGAGGTCCGAGAAGCGGATCGCCGACCCGGCCGTGTTCTTGCCCTTGGACTGCTTGCCCGCGAGGAGCTCGTCGGCGTACGCCAGGCCCCCCGGCGCGACCTTCTTGGCCGCCGCGGGCGCCTTCGCGGCGCGCTTGGGCAGCCTGAGGTGGAGCCGCCGCGTGTTCGCCTCCGGGTCGCGGCTCAGCACCTCCGAGACCTCGCCGACGCGGCCGTTGAAGGTCATCGGGTTCGCGACCGCGCGCGGCTCCCGCTCGAGGAGCCGCACGAAGAGCGCGTAGCGCACGAAGTTCGTGAAGGGGATGACGAGGTTCCCCCAGAGCATGACGAGCAGGCAGTCGCGGACGTCGCCCTGCCGGCGCGCGAAGTGGCTGGCCTTGCTCATGCCGAAGCTGTAGAGCAGCACGACGATGAGCGCCATGTAGATCCAGACCACGTAGACGTGGTTGAGCTGCATCTTCGGCTGGAAGCTCAGCGAGCTCGAGAGCTGCGGGACGACGAAGACGATCGTCAGCCCGATCGCGACGACGTTGCCCAGGCGGTCGCCGAGGTCGATCTGGGTCTTGCGCATGACCAGCAGCGTGAGCGCGATGTTCGCGAAGACGACGGGCATCAGACTCTCGATGAAGGGCTGGATGTAGGCCCGCCGGAGGTAGAAGGTCACGCGGACCTTCGGGCAGTAGTAGCCCTTGTCGTGCTTGCCGTCGACGACGTACTCGATGCACGGGCTCGTGTTGATGATGTTCCAGGACCGCATCTCGTCGAGGGCCGACGTCGACCAGTCGCGCACGGACACCAAGTTCCGCAGGTCCTCCACGTGGCCGAGGAGGTTCGGCCGGCACTCGAAGGGCGCGCCGTCCGCGCCTGGGCAGGACAAGAGAGATTCAACGTCGCTTCAACGTGAGTGTTCCGCGCGCGCGCGTCCCGGAAAAAGCATCCACGCTTCGAGACCGTTCCAAGAGATGATCGCTCGTTCAAAAATCAGCCAAAACGAGTAGAAAACGGCCGAGATATGAGGCTTTGAAGTTTGGAATTTCGCTCTCTTGTCCTGCCCTGGTCCGCGCCGTCCAAGTGGCCCGTGAACGACGTCAGCTCCAGGAGCGTCGACGCGGAGACGACGTGGAACGGGTGCGACGAGATGATGGAGTTGAGCTTCAGGGGCATCTTCGCGACGAACGTCGACGACGACGCGAAGTAGGCCTCGCCGGCCTCGGCGCCGTCGACGAACTGGGGCACGGTCTTCCGCAGCACGAGATTCGCGTCGTCGTCCTCGCCCTCGTTGATGCGCATCTGGAAGAAGGGCCGCGTCGTCTCCTCGGCCTCGCCGACGCGCTTGAGCCGCTCCAGGTCGTAGACGAGGGGCCGCTGGATGAGCGTGCCCACGAGCGCGATGGACGTCTCGTCGACCTCGACGAGCTTCTTGATCAGCAGCGTCATGAAGACGGGCACGAAGACCTGCTTGGGCTTGCGGCTCGCGCCCTGCTCGGGCTTGCGGCGGATGAGCTGGAGCGCGGGCGCGGCCTGCTCCGCCTGCAGGAGGCCCCGCACCTGGGCAGGACAAGAGTGCGAAATTCCCAACTTCAAAGGCTCCTAGCTCGGCCGGTTTCCACTCGTTTCGGCTGATTTTTGGACGAGCGATCATCTCTCGGAACGGTCTCGAAGCGTGGATGCTTTTTCCAGAACGCGCGCGCGCGGAACACTCACGTTGAAGCGACGTTGAATCACCCTTGTCCTGCCCTGCCCCGCACGGCGCGGCACGCGATCCGAAACTTCGCGGACGTCGCGTTCGACGGGTGCTCGGCGTAGCGCGTCATGGGCGACCGCGACGAGTCGGGCACGAGGAACGTCGCGCCCCCGAGGACGCCGTCGCGCAGCGCCGCGCCGTCGACGTCGCCGTGGCGCGCGACGAACGCCGCGAGGCCCTCGCGGATCCGCAGGCGGCTGCCGACCTTCGTCAGCTCGCTGTGGCGGTCCTTGACGCCGTCCTCCTCGTGGGCCATCTCCCGGAGCGCGTCGAGCGTGAGCAACGGCAGCACGTCGCCCGTGACGCCGTGCTCGTAGAACTCGCCCGCGACGGACACGAGGCCCAGGTCCTTGCAGACCCGCTCCACGGCCGACGCCACGGTGATGGCCGACCACCGCGCGTGCGCGCGGCCGCGGGACTCGGGCTGCGGCGTCGGTGCGTCGCGGCGGGTCTGGGGCTGCGGCTTGGGTGCGGCCGCCGTCTCGCTGGGTGCGGCCGCCGTGTGCTCAACCGGCAGGGGGCTCAAGGCCTTGACCTCGGGGCTCGCCGGCGCCCGCGCCTTGTCCGGGCTCTCCAGCGGCGCGAGCCGCTGCATCTCGACGCAGCGCAGCCCGAACCGTGCGCAAAAAGACGTGAAAAGGCAGCCCCAGCGCGTTCCAGCGTCTACCAGCGCGCGGCGCTTCAAGGTTGTAATGCAACTTTAGCCTTCTCAAGCTTGCGAGAAGAGCATGTTCTACGAGTAGATCTCGAGCCTCGTGTGCAGCCTCGACGCTCTTCGGCATCCACAGTGGACACAAACAGCCAAAGCCGCAAAGCACACGCACAAAAAGATGGCCGCGCTCCTCGCGTCCTGCTTCCCCGAGGACGACGCGGAGCGGCTCTACGACGAGGTGCCCTTGGACGTCCTCGGCAAGGCCGCGCGGGACAACGAGGCCGTCCTCGCCGACTTCTTGCGCGCCCTGCGCGCCTGCGAGGCCGCCGAGCGGCAGAGCGCGGCGGCGCAGGCGGGCCTGGCGCGCGTCGCGAAGCGCGTCGCGGCCGTCGGCGCGTCGCACGGCGCGCTCGCCGTCGTCGCGCGCGCGAGCGCCGCGCGCGCCGCGGCGCACGCGACGACGGCGGCCGCCCTCGCGGCGGCCGCAGCGAGCTGCGCGGCCGCCGACGGCCCCGCCGCGGGCCCCGCCGTCGCCGCCGCGGCCGACGCCGCCGCGGAGGTCGCGAGGGAGCGGAAGCGGCTGCGGGGCCGCGTCGGCGCCGCGCGGCTCAAGCACCGCCTCGCGCTCCGCGAGCGCTACCGCGACCTCGACGGCGCGCGCGTCGCCGCGGCGACGGCCGTCTACCGCGGGGACGTCCGGCGCGCGTCCGCGGTCGAAGCCGTCGTCGCCGCGCTGCTGGAGACGGAGCGCGCGCACCTCTCCGCGCGCCTCGGCGCCGTCGTCCCGGCGCCCGCCGCCGAGGCGGACCGCGCCCGGCGGCGCGCGAAGCGCTTCGCCGACGCGCGGGCCGAGCCGGGCGCGACGCGGCGCTACGCGGCGGCGCTGCGCGTGTTAGACTGGGACTTCCAGAGGCGCCAGACCGCGAGAGACGAGCCGGAGACGCTCGCGTCGCCCCTGCCGCCCGTCGTGAGCCGCGCGGCCGCGGCGCTCTTCCGGGTCGGGCACAAGGTCGACGCGACGCGCGAGCACGTCCAGGTGCTGCAGAACTTTCCGCACGCGCGACGGGCGATTTTAGCGACGATCGGCCGCTTCCGCGACGCGCCGGACCTCGGCGACCGCGACGCGGCGCTGGCCGTGGACGCGCTCGCGGCGCTCTTTTGCGCGGCGGTCAAGGCCAAGGACGCGCACGGCGCGACGCAGGCGCTGGTCCTCGCGGCGACGTTCTACCGCGAAACCGACGGCGACCGCGCCTTCGTCGTCGAGGCCGACGCGTTCCGCGAGGCGGCGCACGCGGCCATCGACGCGCGCGGCGCCGACGCGTTCTACGACGACGCCCTGTTGGACGGCGTCGCGGGCGAGCTCCGCCTCGTCGACGTCGAGCGGCCGTCGCCCTGGGACGACCACCTCGACGACGCGCAGCTCGCCGAGGCCGTGCTCCACGTCCACACCGTGCTCTTCAACCGCCTCGTGGCCGTCGTCGCGAACATGCGCCTCCTCGGCGAGCCCGACGACGTCGTCGCGGCCTTCGCGTCGCGGACGGCCAACTCCGCGCAGCTCCCCGCGGGCCACCGCGCGAGCCTCCGGGCGCTGCTGGCCGACGGCGCGGCGTAAGGGGCGTTGTTTGGGTCTTTGTTTTTTTTGGGGGGGTGGGGAGGAGTGGGAGTCGAGGGGTGGCTGAGTCGAGGACAACCTCGACGAGGAGGACGCCTAGGAGGTCTGCGAGGCCCGGCCGAAGACTCGCGGACTTTAGCAGAATTTCGCCGATCGCGCCTCAAACAGATGCGCCTCTCCTTGGTCCTCCTCGCGGGCGCGGTCGCCCGCGCCGAGAAGAAGGACAACAAGAGCAAGAACGACGAGTGCCAGATGGCCGTGGGCGGGAAACTCATCCGATTCAAGCCCATCGCCCACGTCGACTACGGCAAGAAGCGGTCGGGCCCGCCGACGCTCGCCGACGCGACCTGCGTCGGGGGCTACGGCTACTTCGGCCAGACGTGCTGCGTCCTCGACGCGGAGCAGCCCTACGTGAACTCGAAGACGGGCCAGAAGTTCGCGGTCACGCGGTACCGCGGCCAGGTCGGCGCGCGCCTGAACGTCACGCGGTGCCTCCCGAAGGTCGTCATCGGCGGCGTGCAGAAGGGCGGGTCCACGGCCCTCGCCGCCATCCTCAGCGCCCACCCGAACGTACAGTTCGCGCCCCACAAGGAGCTCCACTACTTCGACGGCGGCCCCGCGTTCTGCCGGGGCACGGCCAAGTACCTCTCGCAGATGAAGCCCATGAACGCGGCCGTCGCCCCGCACGCGCCGGGCCCGTCCGTCGGCGAGTTCATCTCCGCCGAGGCGACGCCCTTCTACGTCGCGTCGCCCGTCGCGTGCCGGAACTTCGCGGCGGAGATGCCGGACGACGCGAAATTGATCGTCATCGTCCGCGAGCCCGTGAGCCGGCTCTACAGCGAGTTCCAGATGGAGCGGCGCCGCGTCGAGCCCCAGCGCAAGTTCCTCGGGAACCTGCAGCGCCACGCGGCGTCGCTGATGCTGTGCTACGCGAAGAGCGCCGTCGAGAAGAACCAGTCGACGGCGCTCGCGGCGTGCCTCAACGGCCGGAACGCGACGGGCCTCATGTCGCGGGACCGCGAGAACCGCTACGCCATGCTCCTGGGCCGCGTGTCCAGCGTCATCGCGCGCGTCCGCGAGGTCGCCGTGGCCCGCACGCCCGAGGGCGACGGCGCGCTGACGAGGTTCCCGCCGGGGTCGCTCGCGAGATTGCTGGACGCGTGCTTCGCGCCGGCCTCGCGGGGCCAGCGGATAGTCTTCGACTTCGCCGCCTGCGCGCCGCGCGTCGCGGCCAACGCGCCCTTCGTCGCCGCCGTGCAGAACGAGGCGAGCCTCTTCCTCCACTGCCTCTCGACGGCCGTCTTGCAGAACTCGACGCGCCTCTTGGACGCGGGCGCGTGCGTCCGCGACAAGAACGGCACGGCGCCCGACGCTTTCCCGGCGGCCTGGACCGAGCTCCGCGACGCGACGGCCGCGCGCCTCCGGGCGCCCCCCCACGGGCGGCGCCTCGCGAAGGACAAGAAGACGGACAAGAAGATGGGCTGGGCCGCGGAGGCGCACGTCGCGCGGTTCATCGCCGCGTGCTTCAAGCCGAGCACGGGCGACGACGGCTCGACCACCGCCTTCCTCACGAAGCTCTGCTACCCCCTGCAGAGCCTCGAGTACCTCATGCCCAAGGCGGGCCTCGCGACGGAGGCCGAGGCCCTCGAGAAATGCTCCGCGGACCACTTCGGGAAGGCCAACTACGTCGCGAAGACCGACGAGGAGGCGCACGCGTTCCTCAAGAAGTGCAAGCCCAAGGCCAACGGCGCCATCCAGCGCGACTTCGTCTACCGGAGCCTCTACGCGACGCAGCTCCGGCGCTGCTACTACCAGGGCGTGAAACGGGCCCAGACGCTCGTCCTCGACGGCGCGGCGCTCCGCGACGACCCGGCGGCCGTCGCCAAGGACGTCGAGGCCTTTGCGGGCCTGCCGGCCTTCGCCTACGCGCCCGACCTCGTGTCGCCGACGCACGCGGTCGCCGAGCAGGCGCAGCGCGCGTCCATCGCCAAGGCGTTCCCGTCCTTCGACGAGCGCATCGGCTGGTCCATCCACGGCGAGTACGACGACGAGGGGCTGCCGGCGAGCGTCCAAAGCACGCTCGACGCCTTCTTCGCGCCCCACAACGCGGAGTTCTTCCGCTTGCTCGGCCGCGAGCTCCCGGACTGGACGCGGCCCGCGGGCGCCGCGCTCGGCGGCGACCGCGACGACAAGCGCGCCGAGGCCCTCGCGGAGATCGGGCTGGGGGTCTAGGGGCCCGGTGGTACGTAAAGTAGATGCGTGCGCGCGCGGGCGCCGCTCGAGGCGTAAACTTCGGCGATTTGCTCATCAAAGCTCGAGTCGCTCCCAATGGACCCTGCTCTCCTCGCAAAAAAGTTAGAGTTCGAGCAGGTCAAGGCCCGGGCGAAAGCCCTGAGACTGAGACTGACTTGCGTCATCTGCGGGGCCTGTGGAACTACGCAGTACTGTACCAAGGCCTGTCAAAAGATCGACTGGCGCGAGCGAGGCCACCGGGAGGCGTGCAAGAAGATCCGAGACGACCGGGCGGCGGAGGCGGCGCGGGCGGAGGCGCCGCTTCCCCCGCCACCACCGGAGGAGGTGTTCTACGGCCCCGCGCCGCGGTCGCACGCCGACGAGGTCCGCGCACGCATCGCCGCCGAGCACGAAGCCGCTCGCGCGCGGCGCGAGGCGAACCCGGAGCCCGAGCCACAGTCGGCGCGTGTTGGGTCGCGGTGCCCGATCTGCTTCGAGGACTGGGACGTGAATCATCCGTCTATGTTTCGCCCCTGTTGCTGCCGGGCGGTCTGTCGGTCGTGCACGCTCAAGATCAGCAACGATCCGTGTCCTCTCTGCCGGACGAACTTGGCGGCCTGGAGCGACGCGGAGCAGCTGGCTTCAATCCGTCGACATGTGGAAAATGACGTGCCAGAAGCCATTTTGGAATTGGGGACCGCGTACCGCGACGGCGCGTTCGGCCTAGTGAAGTCGGGGAAGAAGGCGGTGAAGATCTGGAAGCGTGCCGTGGAGCTCGGCGATGTGCACGCTTTGGTACATCTTGGGGTTGCGTATAACAACGGCCTCGGCGTGAAAGTTGACAAAAAGAAGGCGCAGCAGTTCTATCGCATGGCAGCGGATCGAGGAAACGCCCAAGCGCAGTGCAACCTCGGAATGATGCTTCTTAAACAATGGAGCGATGAGTCCGTAGAAGAAGGTGTTTCAATATTGAGAAAATCAGCGGCCCAAGGACTCACATACGCCGAGAACTTTCTGGGAGGCTTCCTTGCGCTAAGCGACGACGAGAACTACCGCATCGAAGGCATGCGCCTCCTCAAGCGCGCGGCCGCCAAAGGTCACGAAGGCGCAAAAGAGATGCTCAGGAGCGGCCTGCGCGAGATGAGAGCCATGGTGATATAGAGAATAATGCGCTATAGAGAAAGCTCTGCGAACCCAAATACCCCCCTCCCGGAGGATAAGAACACTCACCCGCGTTTCTGCTTCGACAGGGCGGCCTTGGCCGCCGCCGCGGCGTTCTTCGCCGCGTCCTTGTCGAGGTCGAGGAGGTAGTCCATGGCGTCGTCCGCGGCCTCGAAGGCGCGCTTCGCGTCGAGGCGGCGCGCGGCCTCGGCCCTGGCGGTCTCGCGCGCGTCGCCGTCGAGCTCGGGCGCCGTCGGGCGCGTCGTCGCCGTCGACCCAGGTCGCGAAGGTGACGAACTCGTCGTAGGGCGTGAACTCGACGACGTCGTCGCCCGAGCCCGGGTCGTCGTAGCCGTGCGCGTCGAAGTCGTAGTACTCGACGCACAGCCGCTTGAGCTCGAGGTCGTAGTAGACGCCGCGGCGGTCCGCGTCGCGCACGCGCCAGCGCGTGCCCTCGTCCTCGAAGACGCGGCCCTGGATCGCGCGCTGGTCCGGCGTCGCCTCGCGCGCGTCCTCGAGGCGCCAGGCCTCGTAGCAGGCGTCGCCCGCGGCGCGCGCGGCCTCGACGGACGCGCCCCGGAGGTGGGCCGCGAAGGCCTCGAGACCCGCGGCGGTCTTGACGCGCTTCGGCGCCTCGTAGCTCAGATTTCTCCCGCTCGCGAAGCCGAAGCGGCCCGTCCGCCGCCGGAGGCACTCCTGCCTCCCCGGCAGGGGGAACCCCAACTCCAGGAGGTAGGCCCGGTCCTCCTCGCGCAGGTGGGGGTGCGTCTGGTGGCAGAAGAAGATGAGCGTGTAGCGCGTGCCGGCGAAGGGGAGCGTCGCGTGGGGCTCCGTGCCGTCGTAGGGCCGGAAGCTTTGCTTGCAGTCCAGGGGCCCGTGCTCCAGCGTCCAGAGCTCGCCCCCCGAGTAGGTCCCCAGGCCGCAGATGTAGGACGGCCCCGCGTTGTAATCGTCGACGTGGAGCTCGCTCGAGAAGTTGTGGTTGAGCTGGATCGACGTGAACTTGAAGCCGGCGGGCAGGTGCGCTTTGCCGAAGCGCACGAGCTCGCGCGTGAGGCCGGGCCGCGACCGCGAAAAGGAGCTCGCCATGACGCCGTGGCTCCGCGCGGCGACGACGCCGACGCACGCGGACCGCACACCCGCGGACGCGTCGGCCTCGCCGATGATGTTCTGCCGCGCCAACGTCCGCGGCACGTCGACGGCGCGGAGGCGCTCGAGCATGCCCGCGAAGTCCGGCGGCGGCGGCGGCGCCCACCCAAAGGCCGCGAGGTCGATGTCCGGGTTCTTCGCGCGCGGCCGCTTCTCCGGCGGCGGGGCCGCGGGCGGCGCGGGGTCGCCGGCGGCCTCGGGAGCGCCCGCGGCCTCGTCGCGCGCGCGCTTCGCCGGCGTCGGCGCGAGGAGGCCGAGGCACCGGAGCACCTCGTTGCGCGACCGGTGCCGCTTCCCGGCGGGGTCGACGTAGACGTGCTCGACGCGGCCGTCGCCGGGCCGCACGCGCGCGCGCACGGCCCAACCGTCGACGACGGCCTCGCGGTCGCCGCCCTTCTTCTCGACGAGGTCCCCGAGCGCCGACAGGACCTCGGCGCCGTCCGCCGCCGCCTCCTCGTCCTCGACGATGGACATGGCCTGCTTGCACGCGCGCGACGGCCGCCGCGCCTCGGTCTCCGCGGGCGACGACTCCTCGGAGGCCTCCTCCGGCGTCCCTCGCTTCTTCGCCGCCGGAGCTTTCGCGGGAGCCTTCTTCTTCTTCTTCTCGGGAGCTTCCTTCGCCCCTGGCGCTTTCTTCGCCTTCGCGGGTGTCTTGGGCTGGCCGGCCGGCGCGGCCTCGGCCGGCGCGGCGTTCGCCTCGGCTCGCGGCGCGGCCGCCGCGGCCTTCTTCGGGCGGCCGCGGCGCGGCGGCTCCGGCGCCTCGACGGCCTGCTTCGGGCGGCCGCGCGTCTTCTTCTCCGGGGTCTCTTTCGCAGGCGCCTTGGGCGGGCGGCCGCGCTTGCGCTTTGGCACCTCCGTGCTCGCAGGCTCCGGTGCAGGCTTGGCTTGGGCCGGCGCCTTGGGTGCGGCCGCTTTCTCTTTCATCGGTGTGCCGCCCGAGGGAGCTACGGACGGCACCGTCGCCTCCGCAGCGCTGAGCTTGAGCGCGAGACGGAGCGACGACATCACTGGATGGCGGCGAGCTCGCGATCGGAAGCCCTTGGGCAGCCTCTCAGAAACCCAACGACTGCATCTTGAACTGAGCGCTCAGTTTTCAACGCGGGGCTGCTCTCATTGTTCCCGAGTGGAGAGCGTCGGCGCCGGCGGGAGCGCCGCGCCAGTGGCCCGCGCCGCGCCGGCAAGACCTCGCGCCCCCGAGCCGTCCCAAAAAGGATGGCGGGCTGGTACCGCGCGAAGACGTCGGGCCCCCTGACGCCGCCCTGCCGCTACCAGATGGCCCACGACCTCGTCGGGGACACGCTCTACGTCCACGGCGGCGGCGGCCAGGGGTCGGCGACGCAGCAGCGGCGGAGCCTGCTCTGGTCGCTGGACATCCAGACCCTGGCCTGGAAGGAGCTCGACGGCCCGCGGCGGTCGCTCGTGACGTCGCGGAGCAACCACAGCCTCACGTGCTGCGGCGGCACGCTCACGGTCTTCGGGGGCAAGGGCCTGGGCGCCAAGGCCGTGGACGTCACGAAGGAGCGGAAGCACGACGGCTCGGACACGCACGCGCCCGTCGTGCGCATGATGTCCATGCGCAACGTGCTCAACGACGCGGCCGTCTTCGACCTCGCGAAGCGGACGTGGAAATTGATGCCCATCACGGGCAAGTGGCCCACGCCGCGCCGGGGCCACACGGCGACGCTCGTGAAGAACTCGGAGGTCATCGAGCAGGCCATGAAGGCCGCCGAGGCCAAGGAGCTCGCGCGCGCCGCGAACCAGGGCGCCGTCGACGACGCCGAGGAGACGGCGCGCAAGGTCAACGACGCGCTGGGCCTCGACAAGCCGGACACGAAGTACGTGCTCGTCGTCGGCGGCGCCGGGCCCGACATCGGCGGCAAGGGCTTCGAGACCGTGCTGGGCCAGGTCTGGGCCTTCGACCCGGCCCACGGCTACTGGGCCGAGGTCACGTCGATGTGCACGGGCGAGCGCCCCCCCGCGCGCTTCGAGCACACGGCGACGCCCGTCGGCCGCTACGTCGTCGTCATCGGCGGCCTGTCGGCGACGGTGAACGCCGCCGACGCCCTGGGCCACAGCGACGTGCTCTGCCTCAACGTGGACACGCTAAACTGGGCGGTGATCCCGACGTCGCACGCCGCGACGGAATCGCCGGCGTTGTACGGCCACAGCGCCTGCCGGTCCCTGGCCAGCGACGAGCTCCTGGTCTTCGGCGGGTCGACGCGCGACTCCGAGGTGCGCGTGTTGAAGCTGTTCCCCGAGCGCATGGACCTGTGCACGTGGCGCGTCGCGCGGACGCCGCCGCTCTACGGCGACGGCGGCGCCGCGCCCTTCCTGAACAAGAAGCACCACCCGAAGCAGCACGCCCAGGAGGTCGCTCGAACGCCCGCCAACGCCTTCGCCAAGCACAAGCAGGTCCTCGGGCGGTCGCGGGCGCCGATGCCCGCGCGGCCGGACACGGCGCCGTTGCTCGACGTCGAGGCCTTCGACGCGCCGCCGCCGCGCCGGGGCCACCTCTTCTCCCTCTTCGTGCCCCGGGGCAGCTCCGCGCGCCACGGCGCCATCGCGGCGCCCGTCGCGCTCTGCTTCGGCGGGTCGCACCTCTTCGGCGGCGCGGAAGGCGCGCACTTCGCGGGCGCGGAACTTTTCCTCTACGACCCCGCGGCGGCCGCGGACGTCTTCGACCCGCTGGCGGCGCCGGCGAAGGTCGGCGGCCTCTTCGACGCCGCGTCGCGCGCCGGGAACCTGAGCCAGTTTCGGCGCTTGTCCGCGGCGGCCGCGTCCGCGCGGGGGGGAACGCCCGTCGGCGCGCGCGCGGAGCGTGCGTTCATCGACACGATCCGCGGCGACCTCCAGCGGTCGTCCTTCAGGGCCGAGTACTCCTACGACGGCGTCAAGCGCCTGCTGCAGACGGCGAACCGGGAGCGTCTGAAGCTCAAGCCGCCGAAGCCGCCGATGGACGACGCGTCGTCCGTCGCGTCCACGACGTCCTCGGCGACGTCGCGCCACCCCGTCGTCCACGGCCTCCTGAGCCACGACCACCACGCGTTGAGCAACATGCAGCACGACGTCCACGACGTCCAGTCCACCGTGAAGCTCGGCAAGAACGACTTCCAGCGGACGCACGACGCGCACCTGAGCCACAGCAACAGTTTGGGCGCGCTGCCGAACCTCAAGAACCTGCCCTTCGCCTTCAAGCAGATCCACTCGTCCTGCAGCGCCCAGGACCTCCAGCGCATCAAGTCCATCAACGCGAGGACCCACAACAAGGCCATCGCGCGGAAGCTCTGGTACGAGCACGCGGAGCCCCACCCCCTCGCCCACCTCCTCCCGCCGGACCTCCAGGTCTGGCTGTAACACGGCTTACTTGAGGGCCCGCTCCGCGACGGCCGCGGCGAGGAGCGCGGCGACGGCGTCCTGGCGCTCGGGCGTGCCGCAGACCGCGGCGATGTCGCGCGGCGTCGCGCCGACGGGGATGTCGGTATAAAAGGGCGCGTAGATGGACCGGGGCGTCGGTTGGCAACGCGTCCGCGCCTCGAGGTCGGCGCCGCGCTCCACGAGGAATCTAATGACGGCCGCGGCTCGCTCGTTGGACAAAAGCTCGGGCTCGGTGCGCACGCAACTGTACACGGCGAGGTGCAGAGCGGTGACGCCGCTGTCCTGGATGGACTGATTCACGTCCACGCCCGCGTCGTCGAGAAACACCTTGACCATTGCCACGGTGCCGTGGCACGCCACGCACTCGCACATCGGCGCCGCCGGGACGTCGACGGGGCACTCGTCGGGCCGCTCGTCGAGGAGAAGTTTCAAGACTACATCGCCGTAATTGTCATACCCTCTCCAGGTGGCGTAGAAATTCCTGCAAGCGAGAGAAAAGGCGCTCAGGTTGCCATCGTTCCGCAGCACTGTCGCGCCCGCGTCGAGGAGAATCGCCACGATGTCGTCGAAGCCCTGGATCGACGCGATCCCCAACGGTGTCTTGTACTTCGGGTGGCAATAATTCACGTCCGCGCCGTAGCGAATGAGGACTTTGACCGCTTCGGGTCTTTCGTTGGAGACAGCGAAGATGAGCGGCGACGTGTGCGACTCCTCCGTTGGCCACGGTCGGACGCGCGAGGCGTCGACGCCGTCGACGTCGAGCAGGAGCTTCAGCGACGACACGTGGCCACGGGCTGCGGCCAGAACAATGGCGTTGGACTGGCGCTCTCGCAGCGAGTCCCGGACTTGGGGATCCTTCAGGAGCACCGCAATCGCGGCCGGCTGACCGTGGTGCGCGGCCTCTTCGAGGGGGCTTTTATAATGCGGAGATGAAGAGGTGTGGAGGCTGCCGCACTCGTGAAGAAGCATCTCGACGATCTCCGACCGGCCGAGTCGCACGGCTTGGCCCGCTACTTCTCTAACTTTGACAAGCGCGAAACCGAACCTCGATTGAATGTCGAGCATCGCTCGCGCGAGGACTCTGACGCATTCCAACCAGCCTTCGGCCGTCGCACGTTTCGCAGCTTCCCCAAGGACGTATCCCATCCGACATCGTGGAAAAGCTAGCAGCGTCTCGATCACGGCGAGTTGACCGTACCGCGCGGCGGCGCAGAGCGCGTTCGTGGCCGACGATCGCACGGCTTCGCGGGCCAGACAAAGAGCTTCGTCCTCGTCGTCGGATGAATCGTCCTCGCCGACAGTAGCATCAGACTTCTTCTTGGGCCAGTGCTTCTTCGTGAAGGACCGGATGCTGTGGAACAACTCGGCCCGCTTCTGCGCGGCGACGAGATTACCGATCTCCAGCCAAGCTCGATCCGCGTCGCCGCTGACAGCCGCGGCGACGGCAGCGTCCGCGAGGTCGAGCTCCCAGTCGTCCGCGGAGCTATCATAGAGGATGCACAGAAGTTCCGCGCGGATCTTGGGCGCGAGCTTGCACGAATTGTAGTCTTGGTTGCGGATCGAGGTGAAGGCGGAGGAAGGATCGAGAAGATAGGCGCTCCCCGTCCGATCAAAGGGCGCCTTCACGAGAAGGAGACGAAGGGCCACGGAATTGCCAGAGGTGGTCGCATGGTCGAGAGCCGTTTGACGGCCCTTGCCCAAGTGCCCCGGGCAGAAGGCCGCTTCGCGCGCGAAATCCGGCGAGAGGTCGAGCATGCGACGCACGACATCGTTCCGCGAGTGGATCACGCTGTCGATGAGCAGCTCTGTTGCCGCGGACGGCTCGCCGAGCTTCCGCAGGTGAAAAACGTGGGCGGCAGTGTCGGCTTCATCGTCTCCGCGTCGCACCTTGTAGTATCCATACTCCGCTGTCGGCAGCCCCAGTTTTCCGGACTTCCAGACCCCTTCGCGATGGTCGGTGTTCGCCACGGAAGTGTCGTAGATCTCGACGTCGTCGCCTTCTTTCCACGGGACGTGGCGCGCGAGCACGGCCTCCAGCGCCGCCTCCAGGCGCCGCTCGCCCGCGCTGCCGTCGGCCTCGCCGTCGCGGCGCGCCTCGAGGTCCTTGAGGACGCCGATCGCGAGCGAGAGGTTCGCGCCGTGGTACTTGGTCACGTGCGGCTCGAGGTCGGCCCCGAAGCAGGCAGCGGGGTCGCCGCCGCACCGCGACGTCACGGCGCCGGACAGCGCCGCCAGCAGCGCGAAGCCCGAGACCTCGACGACCGCGACGTCTCCGGGGCGCACGTCGCCCGGCTCGCGGTGCGATTCCACGTCGCCCGCTTCGCTCTGGTATCCCGGGCAGAACGGCAGC